AGAAGTTAGTGACTTTGTGGACTGATACCATGTTTTGGTTTGGCCGCCCCTAACTATATTTACGATAAATCAAAGACGTTCACAACATTAAATTTAATACTATATTCAAGTAACGAGAGACTAATTTTTACTCACATATACACAATATGCTTCATAGGGAACATAGCTGGTATGACTAGCCTTATTTATATAACCAGTGATCGTTTATATTGTTATCCTAAATAGTTCTTAATGTTCACCCTATTGTCTGTATTTTGGTTCAATGAACTAAACGAATCGGTTGCAAATCTCTTAAATATCACGACTACATTGTTCTAATCCTTAAAATTTCATCTAAGAAATGTTATATTTAGAGCTTAGATTCTTAATATACTGCGAATAACGCGAGCACTCGAACACTAGAACCTTCCAAGTCGCGAATAAGAAGACAAAAGAAGATTGGAGAAAGTGATTGTTGTGCAAGAATCAAATTGTACAGAAAATCATGGGTATTTATAGATATTAGCGTTTGTTAAATCAATATTATTATTCAACTAATTCGCAAAGAGGTGTGTTATGCTACTGGCCAATAGTAGCATGCCATGTTGATATTCTGAAAAGCTCCATTACGTTCTGATGGGATGGAACTCTCCGGCTCCTCTAGGGTCTGTGGAGGCTCCATCGTAGTTCTTCGAAGCCGTCCCAACAAGAAACAGATCATTTTCAACCAATATAAACTCATTTATAAAAAGATAAATCCCATCACGTTCAACAGTGATAGAATATTGATAATCAATTTATTATTCACATATCGATTAGAAATACACATGTTTTCAATACTGAACGCTTAATTTATACTTGTTAAGATTATTTTTAAGTGGTTAGTTCGACAGTTACTTTGGAACAAGTTATTAGGATTAGAAGTTGGATACCGGTCTAAAACTCTAGGCATATAATATCCGGTTGTTGTAGTGTGTTTATTCAGAAACGAGTTCAAGATTAGAACCTTCTAGTCAATGGAAAAAAATGGTTTAAGTCACTTTTCTAGTTTGTGTGCCTTTGAACCCTGACTACATCACATATAATACAACTCTTGACATTAAAGTGATGTATGATGAAATCAACGTAGACTAATCGAAAATGAGAACCTAAAACATATGAAGTAACCGTTCTGTTCTAGTTAAGTGTTCTTTTAAGTACTGCATATCACACACATAACAGTAAATCTTGAAGCCTGGTGAAAAGAAATACATTGTTTAATCACAAGATTGGAATCCAGTGGTTAGAATTTCTAGACATTAGTACTATGTTTTGGACCGCAACCCTCATGGAAATTACGACTCATAATGCAAATAAATTTGGAACAATGATGAAACTGATGCTTTGAGTTTCTTATTTTTCAGCTTAAGTCGATATTGAGATTTTAACCAAATATTTATTGCTTAAGGTGTTACCAAGGTACCTTGACTAGAAGTCCTAGTTTCTGACGTCAAGCGTTAGCAGTCCTGGTCCATCTGAATGCATAAAGATGGGCTTGAGGTCTCCTCAAGATGACCACATGTTTTAAAGTCACTTTTCAGACATTGGGGAGAGTCTGTATACACTAAGATTACTTTACAACAGAAGTAATGAAATCTATCGCAGTTTGGTAGTCTTAAGAAGTCTCCTGATTTTTCAAGGCTTATCATCAGTCTTCAATCAAAGCACTTTAGAAATATAACTACGTAGTGTTATATCACGATGAGAATAATAAATGGTAACTGTTGGAATCTATTTCTGGACTAATACTATATATATTCTTATTGTATAATTGTTGAGCAGCTTAACTATTCATATTCGTGTTCCTCTTATTATAAGTTTTATTTTGACCTATGAACTATTATTAGACCATTTACTATTCTTGTGTTAAGCCCAGTCTATTAATTACAGTCCCTCATATTCACAGACACTTTTGTCTGAAAACACATGATTCATATCACAGAGGCTGAGATTGAAGTGCTGGACTCTAACAGGTATGGCTAGGCAGGGAGAAGGACCGATAAGGACTGTAGACTGCTCGTACGGGTTTACGGGTCATTGGTCCAGTCAATAATTGACTGTTCTTTAATTGGCGGTATCATTACGCCATACATTGATAGGGGCACAAACCCACAAGTTATAGTATGTAGCATCATCAATATGAATTTATTCATATTAAACGTTTCGTCCTGCATATTCTTCATATCGATAAATAATTTCATAGAAAAATTCATCATTCACTTGGTATTGTTTACTTGAATCTACTCATTAATGTTTAGGAATGCAACGATCAGTCTCTTATTGGCATATATGTATACTGTGCGTATTGCCTTAATTCACAAGCATTATAAGGAAAGATTAGCAGTGAAGTCCAGGACGCGCGTTTTATCCTATTTGAGACTTGTCAGCTGCATATATCTACATCTCAGAGTTGATGTTCACTCTGGAACTCGAACCCAGTACCGTTCACTTCAAACGCCATCGCGTTATCCACTTACCTACTGAGCCCCAAATAGGACGAAACATGCATCCTGGATTCCACTGTTAGTCACCATTCATCTTTGCCTACAAAATCTTTATCGGTAGATTTACTGAAGATTTATAATGATGAAGTTGTATGAAAACTTTTGTTGTCCGCACATCGATATACAGATATTATGCGTTAAATTGGTTATTTACTTTAGCATTCCAAGCTCACCTATTATTCACTGAACCATCATTAAAATGGTTTGTTTGCGAGTTCATTATAGAAAGAGGTAGAGTGAAATAAAAACAGACTGATTCACATGTTCTGGGAAATCTATACATTAAAATATGAGCACTTGATAAGTTTAAGATCAATTTTACTCTATTCGTTTAAAAACATAAACATTGGTACAAGGAAGCAGCAAATAGACATGTGTTATATAAATCATTCAAGTGAGGGCTGGGATACTGCTAGGATGCTCAAACAGAAGCAGCAGCTCTTCTGAAGGTGTCACACATCGAGCCTTCGACCTGAAGGTCTAATACACAAAGCACTGGAGTAGCGTTAGGAAATGCAGTACCATGGTAGCCGGTCACAAACTATAGGCCCATACGCCTTTGGTTCCATCAGTATCTTGGAGCCCATGTGCACCAAATGGTTCGAATCAGGATTTTCTAACTCTCCTAGGTGGGCCCTCAGTGTCTCCCGATCCCATTAAAGCGCTGGATATTCGCCTTTCATCTTCTCAATTTCTTAAACAACACCCCCGCCGAGAGAAAGCAATGAGTAAGACTAATTAGAATAGTGAATGGTGTCCACTTGCACACAAACACTAATACACTTTGTAAAGTTTAGTTTTGTGATATTTTGTCAGATTCTCTCTGTGTGTCTATTATCATGTTAGCGACCAGCTTCCTTGATGATAATTTAATGAATTTGTACTTAGTAAGTTTTCATTGTACGTCCGTGATACACATTCAATTAAACTAGGAAGCACTGGACGACCGTTTCGTCCTAGTATGGGACTCCTTAGCAGTGCGCATCCACGATCCCGCACCCCGCGGGATTCGAACCCAGGACCTAACAGTCTCGCGCCAAGCGCTTAACCAACTAGACCACTGAGCCGGAATGCAATAGTGTTAATGTCTAACTTAAACCAATCCACGAAGTTGCGTTATCACATACAATTGTCTTCAGTGAGCTGATATCTCACAACAGACCTGGTTGAACTCCACTGGTAATGGCTTCTCACTAAAACTCCAGGAGTATCTGTTGAAGTGAGTCACTAATGAGCAGATGATTATTATCAGAAGGGGTTTGTGGAGATTTTAGAATATGAGCCTTTGTGTGTGAGTTCAAGCTGTTACATGTTCATTATATGTGTGCAAAGTTAGCTATTAAATCAGAGATAAACTACCAGGGTGTTTGTAATCATTAAGGTGAACACCAACGCCACTTCATAAACCGATTATTAATATATATATATATATATATATACCCAATAAAATGTAACGAAGTTATTGGTTGAGGAGGAGAGTCATCTCTCTGTCTCAAAATGCTCTCATATGGCCACGAGTATACAGCCGCTCTCCGAGAAGTCCTACTCACTGCCTTTTCGTGGCATCATTGTTGTTTACGAAATTGAAAACACGAAAAGAGAATGTCAGGCGCTTTAATCAGATTAGTGGGTATGGAGGATCCATCTAAAGCAGTTGGATAATCCTAATTCTAAACCAATAGTGAACATGCGTTCCAGTATTCTGAAGGATCAAATCACATATGAACCAATTATTGATGATCGGTTACCATGAGACTACATCTCCTAAAGTTGCTCCGCTGCCTTATGGATTAGACCTTCAAGGTTGAAGGCTCCGCGTGTATCCCCCCTCTAAGAAAACCATCTGCTTCGTTTTGGGCATCCGGACAGTTCTCTTTGTACCAATATTTATGTGATTCAATCATTAAGTTTCCAAGTTTAAAAAATCGTATATTTTTTTAGAATAACATTTTAATTCTTTTATCAAATAATTTTTTTTAAAAAAAAGATAAACACAATTAATCCTACTAATCAATAAATATCAGAAAAATATTTTTAAATAGAAACAAAACTTGGCAACAAGAAAAAAATTATTTTTTATTTTTTAAAGAAGTTCCCCCCTCTCTCTTAAAACTATTTAAATATTGTTAATGATAAACATGATTATAGAAAAACTGAAAAATCTGTTGTTTTTTTTTTTTTACAATAATTTGTTTATCTAAAAAAATTAATGTTACATAATCAATAATCAATAAAATAGGGGTTCATAGTACATACACACAGAGATAGAGACACAGACACAATGAATCCAATCCCTTTTCACAGATAGTACAATAGAGATAAGAAAAGAAATATATATATATCGAATCATCATAATGATATATGTTAATATACATATTGGGATATAATCGATTGAAATTGGATTGATATTTATGATTACGTGAGTTGTTAAAATGAATGGAGGCAATATGGAAGGTATATATATATATACATAACAGATCATTTTCTCAATACATTAAATAATGTAGTCTATATATATATATAAAAAAAGAATAAAATAGACAAATGATTAATATCAGATGGGTTTTATGGATATATTATAGTAATTTCAATGGTTAAGATCATGAATCAGAAATAGTGACCAATGGAGTTCAATCAGGTCTGTTGTGAGATAGTAACTCATCGAAGACAAATGGTGAATGTGTCGTTCAATTTCGTGGATTAGTTGAAATTAGACATTAACACCGTTAAATGCTGGCCGACTCAGTGGTCTAGTGATTCAGTGCTCGCGCGCGAGACCGATAGATCCTCGGTTCGAATCTTTCAGAGGGCAAGATCTTGGATGCGCACTGCTGAGGAGTCCCACACTAGGACGAAACAGCCATCCAGTGTTTCCAGGTTTTCCATGGTGGTCTAGCTTCAACTGACTCATGATCTTAACCATTGAGATAAATGATTAAATGACAGTATAAATTTACTATTAATTATACGCATAAAAGATTTATATGATGCTATGTTTGGAAGTGATTATGAGTTTAGCTAGTTTTGAGAAGGGAACAAAGACTTTGCGACCAAAAACCAATAAGTTAGCTATTCTGATGTGTCCTAGCCACCCCGGTTAAATAAAGAGAGAAGTTCAAGTTCGAAATGGGGAAATATATTCCGCAAGCAGGCGAAATCACGAGCAATCACAATACTTACTTACGCCTATTACTCCTAATGGAACATAGACTGCCGACCAGCATTTTACAAACCACTCTGTCCTGGACCTTCCTTTCTAGTTCTATCCAATTGTTGTTCATTCTCCTCATATCTCTCTCCATTTCTCGACGTAATGTGTTCTTTAGTCTTCCTTTTCTCCTCCTTTGGCCTTGATGATTTCAAGCAAAGGCTTGCGTTGTGACGTAGTTGGGTGCTCTCCACAATGTGTGTCCTATCCAATTACAGCACTTCTTCCTGATTTCTTCCTCCACTGGGATCTGGTTTATTCTCTCACACAATAAGTTGTTGATGAGTGTCTGACAGCTGTTAATAGACAGTTGTATCTTTTGGATGATGGCTTTCGTAGTTCTCCAAGTTTCCGCCTCATATAGCAGAACTATCTTGGCATTTGTATTGAAAATTCTGACTTTGGTGTTGGTTAACAGACAGTTGTTTTGAGTTCCAGACATCCTTCAGTTGTAGGTATGCTGCTGTTGCTTTGCTGATCGGCGCTCCAGGCGGAGTTGCAATCACAAGAGGCACAAATCAAACGTATATAGACAGCATAAAATTGTCCTTGGGAAGCGTCACAAGATAACATATTAGAAGATACAATAAACTAATAACGTTTAAGATTTTCCCAAGTAGGAAATGAGACATGAAGGTGAAAATGAACGCTTTTTGGCGTGAAAACAATAAATTCAAATTTTTAAAATAAATTTGCAAAAATAAGGTATTTACCAAATGAGTTCTAGGGATCTAGTTAGTCAGTCAGCTACAACGTAGGACCAGGCACATATATACATCGGTTCAAGTTGCCACACCTCACTCATTAACACAACAAGATGGACACCGGATTCATAAAAGTAGTTAATTCAGAGGTGGTAATATATAAAAGAAAGATTGCAATAAGGATATAGTACAGGAAGAAAGAATTCGTTCGTAGAAAGAAAGATGTGAAGTGATTTTCATCTCTTAGTTTAATGGAAGACAGAGAGTGTATACATCGACGCCATTATGATCGGTTCTGAGTCGAGGGATCTAACATCCCCAAAACATAGAGTATAAAACAACCTTGCAAATAGACGGAACTCTATGATACTACTATTACTACAATTTTCCACTGAGCTAGAGGAAGAACTTATTTTAATCTTTATCCTCAAAGGTTAGATAAAACTACATCGATGACATAACCAACAATTAGTTGGATAAAATTCAACAAGTAATGTCTGTCGTCTTAGGTTTATTAACAGAAATTCGAAGGTAAAACAATGTGAAAGATTTTTTTTTGGTTGAGATCATGAGTAAATTGATGTTAGACCACCTTTGGAAACCTGGAAGCACTGGACGGCCGTTCCGTCCTAGTATGGGACTCCTCAGCAGTGCGCATACACGATCCCGCACCCCGCGGGATTCGAACCCAGGACCTACTGGCTTCGCGCCTGAGCACTTAACCATTAGATTATTCAAATAGATAATCTTTTTTATGAATATCGGATTCAGAGGCGATAATACTGCTGTAAAGATGATGACAAAAAATCCCAGATTTTTGAGAACTTTTGGGAAAAATTCAACGTTATCGAAGTTCGTATACACTTTTCTAGTCGATAATGGACTTATAGGTATGTTAGGGACGAGCTACCCGACTTTGAGGTACATATGAGCCCCACAGAGTAAGCCCATACAAAATACACCTCCATGCATTCTTTATTCAGATGGAGAATGCTAGCCTATCAGTAGCTCAATTCCTGAATATGTTGTAAATCCTGATCATGTCATGACATCAAAATCCTCATTTAAAGTCATCCATGTAGTCAGAAGAACTGGTTCAGACTGCATAAAATCAAAAACTTATAAACTGCAGACATTTAAGTAACCCACTGATTCAAGCCTAAACTCTGTATAGAAAAGTACCATATTCAATCTCTTACTCTACCTGGGTCTTAATCCCATTTCTTATTGGCATTCAGACTACTACGTAACCTCCGTTCAGTATTCTATATTTATTAGTGACCGACCACTGTGTAGTGAAGAATGTTATGTTTTTCCAGTCCTTAGTGTTCATTGAATTCTATTCATCAAGCTGAAATATGGCCAGTAGTTTAAGTGAAAAGACATGGCATCTTGATGTTAAGCAGCTTGAATTGGTCGGGAGCAAACTATAGACCTACGTTGTTCGGTGTCAAAACCCCTGTAAGAACAGGTGATGTGGGCTTGGATTCTACAGAAAGTGTCAGTTTCTTCAAGAATACAGATTCGTTGTGCTAACAACTACTGGAATGACATGAAACCGAAGTGTTTAGGAGTTCGCACCAACTTTCTCGAACCACTGAATATATTTGATATTTGCAAACAATTTATGACAGAATACAATTAGCTTTATTTTCTAAGAGACTACTTATATATGTTAAAGTAATAGTCTTAGTAAAGAATTTCATTGAAAAGAAAATTTTCCTCATTGAATGGTTTCTATTCTTTAATATGCCCTGGTACGGCCGAGAGTGGGGAGAGTCCGCTCTCCCTCTCCAAATGCTCTCACATGGCCTCTTTGTACCAATATTTATGTGTTCAAATAAATAAACTAAAAAGATTAAGTAGTTGAATGATTATTTGTGAAATATGGATACATTTGGTATAAACGCTAATATATCGAAAATCGGAAATGTGGTGACTTGTAACAGGTTTACCATGAGAACTAAACAACATTCAGTCTTAGTATAATGAAGGTCATAGTTGTGTGCTGCTAAATAATGGTTTCTAACCAGAACAAAACTGTTATCCAATGCTCTTCATGAGTTCTGGTTGTCAGTGAAGAAATCAATCTTCTAATGCATATACAATTGGAGATAGAGGAGTGGGTTGTTTCACACAATTTAACTAGCTATTTTCCAACTAATTAATCTGTGATTTATTATTATTGATTTGGACACATAAATATTGGTACACAAGGGCACCGACTACATATGCGACACATAAAAGTCATTTGATTTGTGCATGGGCTGTGATACTGACCGGGTGCCCAAACTAAAGCAAATGGTTTTCTTAGGGGGCTACACCTGGAACCTCCGGCCGGAAGGTCTAATCCACAAGGCAATGAAGCAATGTCAGGAGATGCAGTCCCATGGTAGCCAGTCATCAACATTAGGTTCATGTGCCTTTTGTTCCCCTCAGGATCTTGGAGCCCATGTGCACTATTGGTTTGGAATCAGGGTTTTCTAACTCCCTTAGGTGAACCCTCAGTGTTCACCAATCCAGTTAAAACGTGGGACATTCGCTTTTCGTCCTCTCAATCACATAAACAATAGTAATGTCTCGAGACGGCAGTGAGTGGGACCCCCCTGACAGTGGATGTATACGCGTGGATATATTAAAGCATTTGGAGAGGGAGAGAGAACTCGACCCACTTTCGGCTGTACCATGGGATTTGGGGACACTACTAACCAGGGCAGTTCTCCATGTACAAAGTTAGTTATGTTTCTAAACTATGTAAACAAACCAAGAATAATAACAACGACAGTAATAACAATATTACTTACTTTCTTAACTTGATTATCATTTGAATGAAGCGATAAACAATTTGATTGTTGTTGTTCTTTATTAAAACTATCATGAGAATGATGATTTGTTAATGAATTTAATCGAATTATTTGTAATTCTTCAGTTAAATTATTTATATGTTTAGCCATTTCATTAATTTGTTTTATTGTATTTGTTTTAATTGATTCTAATTGTTGTTTTAATTGTTCATTATATTGTTTCATTGTTTTTATTTCATATTGTTGTTTTTGATGTAAATGAAGTAGTTGTAATATCCATGGGATAAGAGATTCTAACTTAAAAAAATAATAAGACAAAACAATAACATATTTATGATTTTTATAGATGAGTAAATGATCAAAATATCTAAGAGAATAGTGTTTAAACAAAGACTAGTGAGTGAAGCTAATATCTGTGTCAGGTAGAGACAGGTATCTCATCATCATTATTACGCCTGTTACTCCTAATGGAGCATAGGCCGCCGATCACCATTCTCCAACCCACTCTGTCCTGGGCCTTCCCTTCTAGTTCCATCCAATTCTTGTTTATTTTTCTCATGTCTATTTTCATTTCCCGGCGTAATGTGTTCTTTGGTCTTCCTCTTTTCCTTTGGCCTACAGGATTCCAAGTGAGGGCTTGTCTTGTGACGCAGTTGGGTGCTTTCCTCAATGTGTGTCCTATCCACTTCCAGCGCTTCTTCCTGATTTCTTCCTCCGCTGGGATCTGGTTTGTTCTCTCTCACAGTACGTTGTTGTTAATAGTGTCCGCCAATGGATCTGAAGTATTTTGCGTAGACAATTGTTGATAAACACCTGTATTTTCTGGATGATGGCTTTTGTAGTTCTCCAGGTTTCTGCCCCATACAGTAGAACTGTCTTGACATTTGTATTGAAAATCCTGACCTTGGTGTTGGTTGAAGAGACAGGTATCTACCTCAGTACAATGGATGATCGTGCAATTTCATGGATTGGTTGAGGTTAGGTATTAATACCGTTAGATACCAACTCAGTGGTCTAGAGGTTAAGTAGTTATGCGCAAGATCGACGGTCCTGGGTTCGAGCTCCGCGTGTACGATCATGGATACGCATTGCTCAACAGTTCCATACTAGGATGAAATGGTTGTTGATTGCTTCCAAGTGTTCAATGGTGATCTAACATCGATCGATTCATGATCTTAATCAAAAACTGAACAATTTTCACAATCCTATGGTGAGGATTTTACCTAGCAATGAATAGAATAGAAAAGTGTGAAATTAGCCTTAAGAATTTGTAGTATAGCTAATGAAGTATGCCTTAGTCAACAACGGTTATATACATTTGAAACATTCAACAATCGGTTAGTAAAGTGGCTTTGGTGTTCACCTTAATTATTACAAATACCCTGGTAGTTTATTCTGATTTAATAGCTAGGTTTGGACAGATATGTAATGAAAATGTAACAGCTTGAACTCACACACAACGTTTCATATTACTTATGGTTAACTAATTGAATGTGTATCACGGACGTATAATGAAAACTTATTCAGTACGACTTCATTAAATTATTATCAAGGAAACTAATCGTTAACATGATAATAGACAGAGAGAGAGAGAGAGAGAGTATCCGACAAAATGTCACACAAAATTAGACTTTTACAAGGTGTATTAGCGTTTGTGTGCAAGTGGACAACATTCACTATTCTAATTGGTTACTTTTTATTGTTATCATTATTATTGATCATGAAACTGAAGGTCTGACTTATATTATCAACAATGAACAAGTAGCACTGTTAACAATATATAAACATAGAAATAACTAATTAACATAAATTTTGCATAAAAATGTATCTGTGATAAGTAACAAATGATTGTTTCCTTGTCAGTAAATTCAATTTATTTATTTGAACACATAAATATTGGTACAAAGGGGCACCAAATAAATATGCGACACACAAGTCACTTGATTTGTGTACGAGCTGGGATACTCTAAGGTGCCCGAATAGAAACAGGTGGTTTTCTTAAGGTGAAACACTTTGAGCTTTTGACTTAAAGGTCTAATTTACGAGGCAATGGAGCAACGTCAGGAGGTGTAGTTTCAAGATAGCCGGTAACCAACAATTGGTTCATACGCCATTTGATCCTTCAAGATCCTGGAGCCCATGTGCACCAATGGTTTGGAATAAGGGTTTTCGAACTCCCTTAGATGGATGTTCCATATCCACCAACCTGGTTAAGGCGTCGGATATTCGTTTTTCGCCCTCCCGAATTCGTGAAAAACATCCCCACTTCGGGAAGGCAGTGAGTAGAACTTCCCTGATGGACGTCGTCTTTCTGTGAGCTGGACAAGTCAGTGTTTGTACATGGTGTTTCGGGGGCAATGGGATTTGAACCCACGACAGGGCATGTCTCTGAAATAGACATTTCTGGACCACTAGACGGATCATGAATGACTGCTACTACTTCGATTACATTACCGCTTATCAAGGATTCACTGAAGCTTTCGTCAATACGTTCATACATTCTGCAGTCATTTTCCAACTCTGTATGCAAATTAAAAATTAATTTGTCAACTGTCACATCTCCAAAACATGGATGATTTAGCAGCCGTGTGCGTGAATTGTCTAAAACATTGAACTACCTCTTTTGGAAACGCTGCTGTTGTCACTCAGATAGCAACTGTAATTGATCGGAAGAGATAGCCATTTTCTGAATCAGCACGGTAATGAAAAACACTGTATGACTTAACTAACAATTAATGTCGTTCACGAACACCAGCGAGAATTCTGTATGCTGATTGTCTTGGCTCTTTTTTTCACGCCATCGTCAATTGTTATAAGTTGTCAGTTTAATGTTTACTTGTTATATCTGGTCGTCGCTGATTGTTGTGTCGGAAACTCTTATCACTTATACTCGAAACGAGGGACCTCTGCGATTCACACGACGCGAAAGTAAGAACACAAAGACTGGTATAAGTGAAGATTTATTAAACTCAAAACACGACGACGACCTAGTCGAAATCACACTCATTCATATATTGATTGTACACCCATTTTGATTAATAATTAGGATGAAATCACATAAATAAATGAGTGTGATTTCGACAAGTTCGTCGACATTGTCTGGAATAACATTCCTTTCACTAGTCTTCTGTCTTCTCATTGTGACTTGGAAGGGTTCTAGCGTCCAAGTGCTCAAGTTATACGTGTCGTATCAAGAATATAAGCATCTATAGATATAACAACTGGCGACGGGGAAATTTGACTTCTCTTCCCGTCATATCAATATGCGTGGCCATATGAGCGCGTTCCGAAGGGGAGAGCGGACTCTCCCCACTCTCGATCGTGTACCAGGGCATTTTAGGAAATCTGGACAATTACAAAAGCATACAATTTTGATAAGTATGTTTTATTATTAATTTTATAAAACAAAAATCATGTAAGACATGAAGGTCAACTTACTTCATCCTGTAACAGATTAGCTCTTGAAGCGAAATAAATTGATTCTTCAATGGCTTTATGTAAACGTTTCATTATTACTTTATGTGGATTAGGAGTTTCATCAGATTTTCCATTACTACTATTAGATAATTGCTCAGGATCGTTTGAATCACTCACCTGACTATTGTGAACAATAGGCTTAGCGTCGTCTTTTGTTTCTGACTGCTTTGATAATAATAATAATAATAATAAAAATAGTAATAGTAATAATAAAATTGAACATACGTACAATACACACATAAAATCATTACGTAATTTAAGGTAGGAATGTTGTAAAGGAGAGTTATTACAGAAAACTCGAAAATCGAAAGACAATAGATGTACACAATTATTACATTCCAACTTGTCGTGGTATTTGAATGCAGTAACAGCGAGCCAACCGGAAATATTAGGTGGAACAATAGTTTTTTAGGGTCCTACTATACCAGACAAGTCTGTTAGGGAGTAATAAGAGTGTGAGCAGCAAACATAAGGTTCGAGAGTGAAAAACTACTGTCGACTGTACTGGTAAGTAACAGGAGTAAGGTGATTTGCTCAGATAATCAGCATTTGTAGCGATGCTACCTTACCAAAAGGGACAGAACTAAACAAGATTAGCCCTAAAATAACCAGGTGATATATTACTCCATGGATTTCTGTTACTGGCGATTAAATTCTAAAAAGTATGAGTTTAACACATTACAAACTTCTTACAGAAAGATCAGTGTGTGATTGATCTCATGTAGTTATACTATCAGCTCTCTTGTCAGTTAATTAAAACTATACCTGATACGATTTCCTTTTCAGGTTCCTCAACAGAAAGTATTTTTTCACAGTGTGCGCAACTAGGAAATAACACACAACAACATTCGATTTGTGTGAGAGCTGGAACATTGTCCGGGAGCCCAAAAAGAAGCAGATGGTTTTCTTAGGGAGTCACTCCCCAAACCTTTGACCTAAAGGTCTAATCCACAAGGCAGTGGAGCGAAGTTAGGAGATGCAGTCCCACGATAGTCGGTCACTAATAATTGGTTCATTCACCATTTGTTTCCTTAGGATCCCAGAACCCATGTTCACCATTGGTATGGAATGAAGGTTTTCCAACTCCACTAGGTGGATCCTCCATATCCACCGACCCAGTTAAAGCGTCAGACATTCACTTTTCATCCTTTCAATTTCGTAGACAACAATGATTCCGCGAGAAAACAGTGAGTAGGACTTCCCTGATAGTGGCTGTATACGCGTGGTCATGTGAGAGCATTTTGAGAGGGAGAGCTGACCCTCTCCCCACTCTCAGTCGTACCAGGGTATTTGAGGTCAGTCATCATGTGTCAAAACTGACCAATTGACTGAGACTTACAAAAGTTTCTGAAGCCCAATCCTTAAATAGAATACAAAGAATAAATGACTAACTATGTTCAAATTAAAAAGTAAATAACAATTTAACTAACTGATTGTTCTTTTAATCGACGTTTACGTTCCAATTGATATTGTAATGAAATTTCACATAATTGACTTTCTAATTGTGTAATACGATTCATAAGAATATGATCTAATTTTTCTTTATTTATAAATGATAAATTTTGATTTGTTTTTATTGAATTGATCCAATTATTTAATAATTCTACAAATTGTTCAATTAATTTCTCTTCTGTATTTACAATGAATGTCCAATCTTGATCATAAGAAGATGAAAGATTAAGGGTAGTAGTAGTACTAGTAGTAGAAGTAGTAGTAGTACTAGGAGTAGAAGCAGTAGTACTAGGAGTAGTAGAAGTAGCAGCAGTAGTACTAGGAGTAGAAGTAGAAGTGGTAGTACTAGGAGTAGTAGAAGTAGCAGTAGTAGTACTAGGAGTAGAAGCAGTAGTACTAGGAGTAGTAGAAGTAGCAGCAGTAGTACTAGGAGTAGTAGAAGTAGCAGTAGTAGTACTAGGAGTAGTAGAAGTAGCAGTATTAGTACTAGGAGTAGAAGAGATAGAGTAGAAGTGGTAGTACTAGGAGTAGTAGTAGTACTACTACTACTAGGAGTAGTAGAAGTAGTAGTAGTACTAGGAGTAGAAGTTGTAGGAATAGATATTGTTGTATTTGTTATCATTAATGTATCTTCAGATAGAAATGATGATGAAGATGAAGATGGTAATTTTGATGATAACGATGATAATAAAGATTTAGATGGGAGTAAATTTAAACTGGATGATTTATTATAGGTATCCACAATAATATCATGACAAATATCACTGGGAGATGATAGAATCGAATTTGTTGAATTATCATTAGTTACCATGGGAAATGAATTATGTTTTGTGATATGGATAGGTGTATAAGAAGCATCTGATAGTGTCGTTTGATGCAAATTATTATTTACTTCCTATTCATTTAAAATAATAAGTTGGTATATATGAGTATCAGAAGATAATTATTCAAAATTTTATTATTATTACTATTATTATTATTATTTGAGCACATTGACATTGGTACAAGGAGGCAGCAAATACATATGCGCTACACAAATCAAATGGGACTTGTGTGAGGGTTGTGATACTGACCGGGTGCCCAGACCGAAGCAGGTTGTTTTCTCAGGGGGTCACACCCCGAACCTTTGACCTAAAGGTCTGTTATTTCCCGAAAAGAATAATGAATGGTAACTTTTGGGATCTATTGATGAACCAATACTAAACGTACATTTCCATTGTATAATTATTAAGTAACTAAACAATGCATATTCATATTCCTCTTATTATAAGCTTTATTTTGACCCATAAACTATTATTATACTTTTTACCAATCTTGAGTTATACCCAGTATATTAATTACTACCTCCCTCATTCACAGCCACATCTGGCTAATTCTTGTACAAATGTTGTTTCATATTTTGTTGGTACGTTGTGGTCTGTTTGATTGGTATATAAACTCAGTATGTTTGAGATATGATTCATATTGCAGAGGCTGAGATTGGCATTCTGGGCTTAACTGGTTGGGCTAGGCGGAAAGCAGGACCAACCAGGACTCTAGGCTGCCCGCACGTGTTTTACGCGTCCTTGGTCCGATCGATAAATCGCTTTTTCTGATTGGCGTCTTCGGGCTATAACAAGGTCTAATCCACAAAACAGTGGAGCAACGTCAGGAGATGCAGTCTCATGGTAACCAGTGACCAATAATTGCTTCATACACCGTTTGTTCCATCACGATCCTGGAGCTCAGGGTTTCATTCAGTCAGTAACAACATAGAACTTTGTACGTACGTACATCAGTTCGAGTTGCCATACCACATTAGCACAGAGATGCAGTTGTCGATTCAAATCCCATAGTCGTAGAGGTAGTAAGAGTATAAGCAGTAATCGGAAACATTAGGGTTTCAAGATGTTATTCAAGGAGTATAATCTACTGAAATAAATTTCGAAAGAGGAAAAAAAGGGACATAAAGAATTCAGAAGATTAGAATTTGGGAGAACACAAAGAGTGGATGCACCTGCACCATTGTAAACGAGCTCAGGGTTCACTCCCCTAAATGGACTATCCGTATCCACCAACTCGATTAAAGTGTCGGACATTCGCTTTTCGTCCTTTTAATTTCGTAAACAACACCTCCGCCACGAGAAGACAATGATTAACACTTCCCTGGCAGTGGTTGTATGCACATGGCCACTTGAAAGCATTTCAAGAACAAAAGCTGATTCTTTCCACTCTCGATCGTACTGAGCCATTTGGAAGCTTCACATATTAAAACAAAAAAAAAACTTTTTCTTAACAAAAAAACACCACATATTACTAACCTGAGTAATGATAGATTTCTTTGCCACTTCATTTACATTGACAGTATCAATAAGACTTAAATGATCATTACCCTTGTTAATATTATTTAGTAATAATGATAATTTCGTTGAATTTTCATATGTAATCCCATTAACAGAAATATTATGATTGTTTAATTTTAATTGTTCAATTTCTTGTTTTAATTTTTCAATATATAAATCTTTTTGTATTAGTTTCTCCTATATATTTTATTAAATTTTAAAAGAAAATAATGAATAAGTTGTATGCATATAATAATAATAATAATCCAATGTTAGTTAGCTCGCCACTGCCACTGTCATGGAAGTCCTACTCACTGTCTTCTCTTAGCATTACTGTTGTTTACGAAATTGACAAAACGAAAAGAGAATATCCAACACTTTAACCGGGTTGGTGGATATCAAGGATCCACCTAGGAGAGTTGGAAAACCCTGATTCTAAACCAATGATGCACATAAGCTCCAGTATCTTGAAGGAACAAATAGCGTATGAACTTAATTCCGGTTACCATGGGATTGCATCTCTTGACATTGTTCCACTGCTTTGTGGATTAGACCTTTAGGTCAAAGGCTCGTGGTGTGATCTCCTGAGAAAACCACCTGCTTCGGTTTGGGCCCCCGGGCAATATTTCAGTTCTTACACAAATCATTCGATTTGTGTGGTGCATATGTATTTGGTGCCTTCTTGTACCAATGTTTATGTGTCTAAAGAAATAAATTAAAATATCCAATTAAAACTAGATGACGCTGGACAGCTGTTGTATCTTATTATGGGACTCCTTGACAGCCTGCACCTACCTCACTAAAGCTCGAACCCAGAACCTTCATGTTCATTGACAGGTGCTTGACAGTAATACATGCTAAGAAGTAACTTCCGAAGTTTTAGTGAGAACTCATGAAAAGCATATCAAGTTTGAAGCAGTTACCTAACAGTGGGATTGGGGGTTGCCCAAAATAAGGAATTTATTAAGACTAGACACGTGAACCAGTGAATGCAGAATAAGTGTTTTAAATGCTAAGCGCTCGTCGCGGGACATGGACGTCCTGGGTTTAGTCATTGATCAGATGATGGGTGGGGATTGTCAAGAAGCTTTATATAAGGATGAAAAAGCTGTTTAGTGCTTCCTATTTTCGAATGTTTGTCTGAGATCAATCCATTATCTGAACTCTTGATTGGGACATTTTAATAACCTCGAAGTTGTCGAATATTACATAAATGATACAACTAAAGGAAAAAGTTACACACGAATACTTACCTGTAGTTGTTGGTTTAATTCATTTTCATTGTCTTTTAACGTTTTATACTTTGAACGAAGCTACAAAAGTAGACAATTTGATGTAAACAATATGAAAAACAACAAACCTTTTTGAATTCCACACATAATCTTTCATATTTACTTTTTAACTGTTGATAATCGTCCATCATTCATTTTTTACTTTCATTAAACATTAGTGCATAAACAAACATATATATGGGTATATGTATGAATACATAATTATGAAATTTGTACTTGAACACAGGTAATTTGCAAAATAATCTAAATGAAGAGATAAAGTATTATGCTTTTTGTTACTATCGGGAAAATGTTGACATGCCAAAAGTTAGGTACAAATAAATCATTGAAAAAAGTGTAGAAAACAAACTGAATAAATTCGATGGTTCGTTTATATTATGAGATGCATTAAATTGCTAAATTGTCTGTGAGTTACATTTATTATTTATGTATTTTAACACATAGATATTGGTACAAAGAAGGACCAAATACATATGCGCCACACAAATCTCATTTGATATGGGTGACGGCTGTGATACTGACGGGTGCCCAAACTGAAGCAGCTGGTTTCCTTAGGGGGCCACACCCGGAGCCTTCGATCTGAAGGTCTGATCCACAATGCAGTGGAGCATCGTAAGGAGATGCAGTCTCGTGGTAGCCGGTGACCAACGATCAGGGTTTTCCAACTCCCCTAAGTGTATACTCCATATCCACCAACTTGGTTAATGCGTCGGACATTCACTTCTCGTCCTCTCAATTTCGTAAACAATACCCCTGCCACGAGGCGATAAGTAGGACTTCCCTGACAGAGGCTATATACGCGTGGCCATGTGAGAGCATTTCGAGAGGTAGAGCGAACTCTCTCCACTCTCGGTCGTACCAGGGCATTTGGGGGCATGAGTTACATTATACTTTAGAGATATGAATGAATAATGATGCCTTGAGGATTCGCTGATCCAACAGTCTAGATGTCTTTAGAGAAGGAATATAGGTTAACATTTTATACTGCCTACCACAGTTCAATTAACTATTTAGGGTAGGTTGTTACGAAACAAATGTGATATATATATATATATATATATATATATATATATATATATATATATTGCAGAACAAAAAACCTGAGCCTACGTTCTGTGCTAATAGGCACTTGTCAGTAAAGCGTACCTTCAATTTTAAGGGAATTTATACTCCACGTAGGAACCCCAACCTTGTTTCCCGTCAAGTACCTCTAACCACCATGCATTTGCTAGTTTATTTCATACAGAATAAGTTGTAATGACACACCTTTTGGCATAAACTAGACAGTTCGTGAACATAATTAGTTAAAAGTATTAAAGCTGAGATACTATTGGCTTGTTTAATATCAGTTATTGTAGGCTGCCACAGTGGCGATTTCTATGATAATTTAGGTACTCGATTTCAGGTTATCAGTTAGTCATAATTAATGTAGGACGCAGCACAAATATATATCAAATTACAATCACATAAGATAATTAGTACAGAGATAAAATTGATAACAATCAAAGCATCGAGAAAATAGTACTTGTTTTGATGATAAAAAGGAGACAAACGCAAAAATGTGGTTCGAAAACAAGCGAAATAAAAAGTATTGGAATGTTGAAACCTAAAATCAAGAGGAGTATAAATAAAAATAAATCTGGGCTACTCCAAATAATTTAGAGTCGTCACCTGACATTTTTAACCACTGATCATGTTTACGGATTGGACCGTAGCAAAGTAATGTACACCAACGGACGCGGCTAAGATGAACTGTCATTGATCGCGGGCTCATGCCACGTCTTACATTGGGTATGCTTAAGCTTTTTACAATCTTCTCGGACTTCACTCACCATTATTAGAGTACGCGATGATTAGGCATATGCCTCAAGCACTTCAGTTAAAAAACATAAGCGTCTTTATTAAGCAACTTCCGATTTAAGCCTGGTTATGTCTAACCTCGATTGTTGTATTTGGTCGTCGCAATTGTTGTGCCGGAAAATCGCTGATCACTTATACTCGGAACGAGGGACCCCTGAAATTTCCACGATGCGAAAGTGAAGATTTATTAGCCACAAAGCACGACGACAACGATGATCAAAAGTCTAAAATACACTGGTTTATATGTTGATTTTACACCCATTTTTGATTAATAATTAGGATTAAATCACATACATGAAAAATACTTAGTTTATAACAAATCACAGTCCATGGAATACAAGAATATCGTATATTATACAGAATAAAATATCATACGAGAAAAGAAAACAATTGCTACAGTGAATGATCATCACATTGAATTAGAATGGATGTAATGTTGAATAAAACTCATAATGAGTAAACCAATCGAAAATTGATTTTTCTTCCCATCATATCATCGATATCGTTGGAGCACTTAAAATTCAGAGGAAGAAAGACGGAGCCAAAACATGATTCCACTGCCCCCAAATACCCTGGTACAGCCGAGAGTGGAGAGAGTCCGCTCTACCTCTCGAAATGCTCTCACATGGCCACGCGTATATAGCCTCTGCCAGGGAAGTCCTACTTATCGCCTTCTCGTGGCAGGGGTATTGTTTACGAAATTGAGAGGATGGAAAGTGAATATCCGACGCATTAACCAAGTTAGTGGATATGGAGTATACACCTAGGGGAGTTGGAAAACCCTGATTCCAAACCAATGGTGCACATGGGCTGGCTCCAGGATCCTGAAGGAACAAATGGCGTATGAACCGATTGTTGGTCACTATCTACAAATGTACTGCATCTCCTAACGTTGCTCCACTGCATTGTGGATTAGACCTTCAGATCGAAGGCTCCGGGTGTGGCCCCCTAAGGAAACCAGCTGCTTCAGTTTGGGCACCCGGTCAGTATCACAGTTCTCACACATATCAAATGAGATTTGTGTGGCGCATATGTACTTGGTGCCTCCTTGTACCAACATCTATGTGTTAAAATAATTAATAATAATAATGATTTCACTGTTGTTAAAGGCGATCAGAAGACTGTATTTTATTATCTTTTTACCAAATAAAACTACGTAGTCTGAGTACTCTAGCACAGTACCTATGTACATCAGCGACTGCATTCTTAAAAGGTCTTTATTTTATTCATTTATATATGTAGGAACATAAAACTTGCTGCCCTTGAATATATTTGGTTGAGGCCTAATATGTGAACCTACGATTTCCATTCAAGTAAAGACATGGTATATTTTCTCCTCTCTGACTATTGCTGACTGACCACAAGACTTCCTCAGACAAGGAAATACAATTTCTACCTGTATGTGATATCAACATTTTGATAACACTATTACAGTACAAAGGCTAAACACGAAGATAGCAAGCGATCAAATAATGTCAACTGAAAATTCCCTGGTATCTAATTAATGTGAAGATAACAAAAGTACATGCAAAATAAAGCAGACGTTCCAACGCAACTAACAGTTCATGCTTAAATTTTCAAAAGGTCAGAAATGGCCTGATATATTTGTTTATTATTTCTAATGACAAAATGTCGTGTGTTAATAATAAAACAGCTAAGTTTGCAACCAGAAACAATAAAGTTTGGCATGTTAACATTTTCCACATAAACAGTTAACAAGTTCTAGGGCATTTAAAACTAAACCATAGTACTTCACTCCTCAATATGGTTGTTCGCTCATTAAACCCAGGAACAATAGACGAGAGATCCTGAGGCAATACAGTTAATATTTAGATTTTATTTACATAATTATATAACTATAGATATATCTTATCATGATAAATTTAGATCGCTTCACTTAAGAATCAAAACTATAGTCCTTGTAAGTAACAACAAGAATAATACCAGATAGCTAAGGAGTTAGAACCGACCACAAATAAGACATAGAGTATCTTTAGATGATACAACGAGATGGATTGGAATGAAAAGAGAGTTAGGATTAATAGCTATTAGTTTAAACTAATAGCGAAAAGTCGGTAATTCGGTGGATATTTAGGCGAAAAGTAGACAATTCAGCGGAAATTCAGGCGAAGTCGGTCATTTATAGACAAAACGGCGAAAATCCGCATTATTTCCTCCGGACAGGCGAAAAAGGCGACATTTTGGCGCGTTTTCTTATTTCACTTCCAAAGTATTTACCCCTTTATTTCCCTTTCTTCCCTTCATTTCCCCTTTTGTGTTGCTTGGGTTATACAGGGATGTTAACTACTCACACTAATGATCCTAGCTAGAATGAATTATATTCTAGAATATAAGTGCTAAGTGAAACGACTGCATGAATTCAAAGTCGAATATTCTATGAGATGTTTATTTCAATCTTTATAATTCGTTAAGTGTCGATTTACAAGACTAAGGATTATTTTCCAAGAATCCACCCAAGTTAGTAAATCTTGTCCCAAGATTCAGTAATATTCAACCATTATAAGTAAAACTTGTGATCATATGTTGAAACCGATAGAATATAATACATATGCAGCCGCCCTGTTGAGTAACGCACTTTCCAAACTATGCGCAGAATCTCCAGTATCGCTAATATATTTGTGACGATCTTGTAAAAACTAATTGATTTCTTTGCACTCACCTCTTGTTATTTCGGCACGGCTTTAAGTATTCGATAATGTCTAGTGGATGGCAGTCTAACTGCACGGTGGCTCTAATTCTAGTCAATTTGGTAGTTATTTATGGGTTTGTATATATTGTAGTTTGAGTGAGTACGCTTGTCTCAGAACAGCAGGGTTTTTTGATATCAGAGACTACCACATTACTAGGGAAGAGGTTGGTTGGTTGCAATGTGAAAATAATAAAGCGATAATTCAAGTGCTAAGAGAAGAGGACTGTTTCAACAACCAATTAAATAGGTTAACTAATTAATTGGTAGTGTTGACGAAGACGGAGTTAAAGGAACAAAAAGGGAAACGGCGATGATAATCATTGGGGTGAGAAGTATTTACTGATATGTGGTAATGACAATCGTGGTAATTTATGAGACATGCTTTGGACATAGTTGGTTCAGGAAGGTAATCTATGGGTGAGTGCGTATTTGTCAAGTTTCCTCTCAAGACTATCCACTGATGGGGCTGTGATAACTTTGTCTGGAAGAGCATTCGGAATGGGGGCAACTCGTAATGGGAAAAAGTGGGGGCGTGCTTTGGTGTTCATTCTCTGATATGCA